TAGACAGTGGGCTTACTCGGTCGTGTTCCTCCCCGACTTAGCCTCCTCAGTAGCTGGGAGTGTGGGGGCACACCATTGCACCTGGGCGTGGGGGCAGTTTTATTACATGGCTTTCCCTGTCACCGGCCATTCCCACTTTTACTCAGTATTAAATCATTTCAAAACTATTTTTTTATTTAAAATGTTGATCTGGCTTTAATAAAACATGGGATATGAAATAGAAGAGTTTGGACTTAGGAGAGGGCAACATAGTTAGAATTCCTGAGATCGACCTTTACTGTCACATTTTGATAAAGCTGGGATGTCGATCGCCACACTTTAGAAATAGATGAATGTATAATGCAGATACATGAGGGAGTCATGATTTACATTTAAGGTTTTCATTCTGCAAACATTCTTGTAAATGTCCTTATAGCAAATAAAATCTAATGGCTATATATGCCAGTCCACCTGTCTTGCCCAAAGTGAGACCTGATCCTTGGACATCTAAAGACAGGAGGAGGCCTCAGTCTGTAGCTAAGCCCATTCCTATGAAAGAGCTGATGGGAAGACACACAGCCATAGCCATGTTACGGGTCCACCTGTGCCCATGTGCCCACCCGCACGCAAGTTTTACCTCTCTTCCTACCTCATTCCCTATACATTCTCAAAGAGTCTGTCCTCAAGTGAAAACGTTGATTTCCACTGTCAAACTACTACTTTGAAATGCCTTGGAGAGACACAGTGTTCCTCAGTATCATTTTAAGAAATTCTTCAGATGGGACCAGCAGGTGGTATGGTGGTGAATGTGCTGGAGTCCCACATGGCCAACCTTGGGTCAAATCTCAGACCTGGCAGCTTGAAAATCACGCCAGGTGTGTGTACATGCATGCCCAAAAGCTCAAGAATGGAGCAGAAGGGACTGTAGCATAGCCATTGCCCCTGAAAGGTGATTTCTCACTTTCCCTCTCTTTCTTTCTTTGGCGAGCACATGGACCCTACGGTAAAATTAAAAAAAAAAAAAAAATCCTTAGATGGGGTAACTAGTTTCATTTTGTTTAGTCCAACATCTTTTTTTAGAGAAGTTTTTGCTATAGGGCGCGTGTGCTCTCCAGAAAGACAGAGAGAGACAGACAGAAAGCAAGAAATCACTCCCCAGGGGGGATGGCCACGCCACAATCCTTTTTCCTCCTTTCTACTCCCGTTATCTTGGGCACGCACACACATGTACCTGGCATGAGTTTAAGCTACCACGTCTGGGACTCGAACTGTGGTCGACTACATGGGAGTCCAGTGGCATAGCTATTGACTAACTGCTGGTCCCTAGCCCAGCATTTTTCAAACCTATTTGGTTATAGAATCTTGCTTTCCCTTGCCACTATTACATCCAACCAAGCACAATTCTGAAAATATATTCTTGGAGCATCTTTTAAGATCCTGAATGGGCAACTGCCCAAAGGGATCGCCAGAGGTTTCAGGAGCAATGGAAACTTTTCAGACCATGTGAATGGTTATCTCTGATGGTGGCATGGTGGTAGCAGGGTGATTCACAACAACTATTTAAAATTTACCTTTAGAGATAAATTTTACCTGTGCTCAGTAAGATGAAAAATATAAAGTAATAAAATTGATTAGAGTCACCTGTTAGTCACCCCTTTAGAGGGGGCAGCAGGTAGCATTGTGGTTAAGGCTTTGGACTTCCACATAGCCGACCATGGTTCAAGTACTAGACCTGGTGGCTTCAGAATCATGTCAAACATGTGCATATGTGCCCATAATCCCAGGAAGAGAATGGAGGAGAAAGGATTGTGGTGTGGTCATCACCCCGGGGTGGGGGGTGATTTCTTACTTCCCTCTCACTGTATCCCTGTCTCTCTCTGGTTAGCACATGTACATTATGGTCAATAAGAACAACAACAAAAATTACCTTTTTATTAGGTAATGTTTATATTTTGCTGTCCAACAGGCAAAAAAATGAGCAGTTTTTATGAGTAGGGTGTGTTGAACTCTCTTGTGCATATTCTCTTTTGCCATTGATTTGGTGGTAGGAAAGATCTAATTGTCAATGACGTATTTTTGTCATTAGGTCTGGGAGGACCAGTTCAACATGAGTGTGGACTGGTGACAGCAAATGACAATGAGTACTCCTTTTTCAAACATTACCACAAAACCTTGCCGAAGTTGTGACTGTGCTCAGTGAGCTGCAAAATATGGAGCAATAAAATTGATTAGAGTCACCTGTTAGAAAGGCAAATTAAAGCAATTTGTATTTTTTTTATCATTTTACAGTGTATGCACACATACACAGAGTTAATACACAACTCTGTTACTTTCCTAATATCTAATATGGATTTCGTACAGAAGACAAATAGCAAAGGAAGACAATGAGGTAGGGGTGTCAAGTTACCTAATCCTTGTTTTCCCCCCAGTTATTACATATTCCAGGGATCATCGATAAGTTCAGTTTCCTAGCTGGCAGCTCTATGTGGCTATTTCCACATAAATTAAAAATTCAGCTGGTTGTATTAGCCACATTTCAGTTGTTCGATAGCTACTTGCAATGAGTGGCTACCACGGTGAGTGACACAGATACACAGCATTTTTGTCATGGCCAACTGGCCTACTGGATAGCTAAGAGACCATTGATCAAGGTCAAAAATCTCTTCTCCAGCTCTGGAGACATCAACAAACCATTATCTTGACTCTTGAATCAGGAATGCTTGTAACAAATCCTAAATAACACAGAAAAATATCAAGGCACAATGACCACTTCAGCCTATCTTGGATAGAAGGATAGAAACACATAGTTATTTTTGGTAAATGCCATTTCATATGCAAACGCAGAGTAGAGATCATTCTCCAACCTTCATAGATGATGACATTTGTCGTACCGAAGGATCCCAGGTATACACACCTTCATTTAATGTTCGAACAACAATCAACACAATAGTTAATGAGATTCACATATTGTTTTCTATCTGCACCATAGCTCTTCTTCCAGTTTATCAAAAGTGCTTCCTACTTTTCAACAACTGAAACTACTACAGAAGTTAAGGGAAACATGCAGAATTCAAACCAAGAGGGTTTACAAATGGGATATTGCTATAAATCCTTGCCTGGAACAAATTATCTGTCTCCAGATCATGGTTTACCTGAAACCTGATGCAAATTATCTTTCTTGTTTTTCTGGAGGGGAGAGAAAAAAACATATATGTGCATGCACATGCACACGCACGCACACACACACACACAATTTGAGCCCCTCCCTACCCCACTAAGGTGAATACTCCCACTTGCACACCTGGGTCGTTCTATGTGCCTCACAAGGAACAAGCAGGGCCAGCAGATGAAAGGAATGGCTCCAGAGATCCAGTGACCTAATTTCTCCTCGGCCCGCCACCTTGTGTCTTGAGCTCAGTGCTGGTTTGACAACTGCGTTGGTTTTACAAGTCCTGAGCACATTTAACAAGTTTCCTCATTCCTAATTAGAGAATATGGTGTTTGGAACACCAGGTGGTGTCTGGCTAAGACCTCTTTTTTTTCTTAAAAAAAAAAAGAAAAGAAAAGAAAGAAAGCCTTCCACATTGTTGTTCAAGGGAGAATAAAACAAAACAAAACAAAACAAAACAGAACTGGCCCCAAATTATTAATGGTTATCAGGACATTGTGGAAGCGTCTTCTCTAGGACTGATCTAAAGAACAAACTTCTGCAAGAATAAACTAGCTTTTTCGAATTGCCGTGCAAATGATAGCTGACGTTCTCTGAATGTTAGCTGGGATTGGAAGAGGATAGAAAGAAATTGAGACCATTTTTGCCTGCACTTTGAAAGATGGTTTATGCAGTTTCCCTGCTTCATCTATTTCCCATCCTACTAATTTTGCTCATACATGAGGCCAGACGTAAGCAGCCCTCCTCTCCTGCTCATGATATTGTTGTCAGATACCCCCTGACACATCGTTCTGTCCTGAGTTGGCCCTTTCTGAGTAAGAGTCTCCGTCCTTCTGAGGATTATGGGACTGTACTCTAATTAGAACCTAAACGGGCCCTGTGTTATCAGTGGAAACTGGATCCTGTTGGTTAATTGTGCTGAGATCATTCCACAGTGGTTGATGTATCGTTGTGGTCTGTTGAGCAAGAAGCTCTGTTATTTTCGCAGTTTGATAATCAATGCTCCACTGAACACAATTCCTTTTGAATATGCCCATTTGCTCATCCTCTTTGCTTAATTGAACAATTGCAATTACTGGTACATACAACTAAATGTTAATTATTTTTCTTTCAGATTTTCCCCCCTCTTAATGATTTTATTTACAAATTAGAAGACTTTATCATATTTTCCGCACCCAACAAATTCCCCATCTGAACCAATGTGATACATAGCAGTGTGACATCTTTAGCCCAAAAGAGGATTTTTTAATAAGTGTTTGCTATTTTTCTAATAATTATGTCACATTTACAAGGCTAAAGACTGTCTTCTTCAATAGCATTAGTGGTTAACAACTTCCTGTGCAAGATATTACTAATAAACTTTCAATCAAAGGGTTTTCTGATTTTTTTTTTAAGTAATATGAAAGAAAGGCAGGAGAGGATTCACTTATTTTTTCATTTTATAAGGAAAGAAGGCTTGTTAAAATTTAAGTTACTATCTAATAAATAAAAGTAAAGCATACTCAACTTTGAAAAATCTGGAAAGTTCAGCAAAGTATAGAGTATTTAATTTATCCTCTATCCTTTCTACCCCAAGAGAGTCACCATTAACATTTAGGTAGATTTCCTTCACAGGGCATCTGGGTTCTGCCTTTGGGATCTGCTTCTGACTGCTAACCTTTAACATCTAGTTGGGTTGGTCTTCCACCCCAAGCTTTCCAGTGTGTTTGTACTTCTGCTTTGATACTAAGCTTTCATTAATCTCGACTTCAGATTGGTAGATCTGGGTAACTGCTGTTCTGTGTGATCTTGCCCAGGCCTCCCTAAGTCAGTCTCTTCAGCATTCCTAAGTTGAATTTCTCCTGTGTTTCAGGGTGGTTATGCTGCGTACCGCTACGCCCAGCCTACCCCTGCCACTGCCGCCGCCTACAGTGACAGGTAAGAGTCTCCTTCTCATGCTTGAAAACTACCTGGAAACTAACTTAGTTGGTGGGAGAGGAAATTCTTGTCCATTCTTGGTGAAAATGCACGAATGCTGGGGAGGTAGCACCCAAAAGGTTAGGCCCCATGATGAAGATCAACACAGGGCCACCGAGAGAGGATGAGTGAGTTATCTTGTTCATTCCAAACACCTCACCCTCTCTGCTAAGACACAAAGAAAATGATGTTTTGTCCTGTACCATTGCTTCTCAGAATTCTTAATTCCTGTAACAACATCACACACACACACACACACACACACACACACACACACACTCTCCATATAACTTTCTTGTGGTCTTTTCTAGAAGACCATGATTTCCTCTAACTCATAGGAATAAAAGCAGAAGATGGTCCAGTAGGTTTGCCTCCATTTCAAGCACCTTATTGTCCTTTTTACAGCTTCTGCCACCCAGTAAAATATTCCCTCCATTGCATTTTCAAATTGAATATAAAGGAATGGAGGAGCGTATCTGGCAATCTTAAAGAGATTCTCCCTACCCCCACCCCCACCCCCCCATTGCAATGCCCAGTGTCTAATCTTACAAATATAGGTCAGTTTTTATTCGTAATGCACACCATGTTAAGACTAACAGTGAAAGGAACAGAGTGTGTTTAAGACTTGCACAAGTCAGAATGGATGGGTTGGGGGGCTTTATCATCCAGGCTTAACAGATGAGTTGTTCCTAAAACAGCAAGCCATAGCTATATTTGTATAGGTGTCTTGAAAAAAGAAATTGTGTGTTTCCATATTGAATGCAACTCCTCAGCTCTGTTTTCCGACGACATAAATGTGAATGTTCAGATGCTCTGCATGCACAAATGTCATGGAAGGTGCTTATTTTGGTAATGACTCCTTTAATTTAAAAATATGTTTCATGAATAAAACAATAATGATAACAATTTGCATGTGTGGCTGAGGCATGCTGGGTGAGACAGGTAAGCGGGTGATGTTTTTGACTCCTGAACAAGAAGTGTCGGCAGCCACGGGGTCTCCTACCTGGCCTGTTGTGACTTAGTTCCTGTATCGGTTTGCTGTGGTGTGCTTTTTCCGCAGTTCCATTTCATTTCTCACAAGATGTGTTGTTAGCTCGATGTAGCTACAGAATTTTTCTGCAATATGATAAAGCAAAATCAATCCCTGAACCCTAAAAGCTGCACTTTGAAAACTGCATGCATAAATGTGTAACAAATGGCTCTTTGGAAAGATAGAACTGAGTTCTGTTGTCTGGTTGTATACAGGAATTATTATTATTTTCTTATAAGCAGCTATTACATACATTCTCAGGTCTGTAGGGAGCCTTCAGAGAAATCCAAACAATTGTCAAGACACAGTTCTGCATCCATAAATTATCTAGTTACCCAGTAATCAGTTGCCAAGATGCAAAATATGTTTCATGTTAGTTGTTATCTTCAATATACTCTGACACTGGATTAGGAAAATAGAGAGGGCCAATAAGGCTAATAAAAATGATGACAATCTTGAAATACTCAAGATCATTCTACAAATGAAAAGGCTTAATGCTATTAAATTCTGCACAATGAAGATTCACAACGTATCCATTGTAATGTGGTTTAGCTACAGCCCTTAATTATATTAATGAAAATATCTCTAGATGCTAAATTCTCAAACACCCACTTTGTATATAATTATAAACACGGCAACTTTAGCCTCCCTTATAATTATAAGAATCATAAATGGATTTATTTCTTTGAATATTTATCTTGCTTTTCAGTGTAAGTGCATCTATCCCAAGTTAAAAAATAAAAAAGAGGTTAATAACAAAGATATAATTTAAATTGCCTTCTTCAATAAGACCAATCTAGAGCTTTGAAAAAAATAATCAATGTTTAGTCCTATTTTTAGATAGAATTACTTGAGAATCTGGCCATCTCCACTTGTATTCATTTAAAAATTAAATTGATATGTTCTGTATTTTAGTACACCGTATGTGCAAATGTATGTATAAAATTTGTTATTTTAACATTATTAACGTTTCTCATTGACAACACATCCTACTGAAAAATTGTCCTCATTCTTAGATTGGTAAATCTTTAATAATTCTGCAATTTCCACCTTAGCGTGATAGTTTCAGCTGAAGAAACCAACTAGCTATACTCTTGTCCAGTAATTGGCCTCTTGTTGTTCATTAAAGAAATTTGCACATTAGATTTTCTTGGTTGCCGTGGAAATTGATTACTAGCCCTAGTTAACTTTATTACAAGAAAGACACTTGCCACATACAAAATTATTCATTGATGTAAATCTAATAATAGTAAATTACCAGAAAATAGTTTTTTGGGTTTTACCATAGGGCACATGGGCTTACCAGAGAGACAGAGAGACAGAGAGACAGTGAGAGGGAAAATGAGAAATCACCCCCCGGGGAAATGGTCACATACCAATCTCTGTCCCCCATTCTCTTCTTCGGACTTGGGGCACACAGGCACATGCACTTGGCATGAACTTCAAACCACAAATCTGAGACTCAAACCGCAGTTTGTGGGGGTTCAACCCCTTTACCACCATGCCACCTGACAACAATCTTTAAAAGGATATTTCTGATTTGATTTGTGAAATATCTCTATTAAATGGTGGTGATGCTCAGTAAGCAGATAACAGAAGAAAGAGTCTTTTATAGAAGACACATATTTTGGGAAAAGTGTGAAATTATCAGGATAGCTTTTGAATCTAGATTAAAGATGCCCAGTACCTAGAATTTATCTCAGGGCAATAGTATATCATTAATAGTAAATTATTCTTACACCATCAGAGCCAAGCCGACTATTGGTAACAACAGACTCCTAGTTGTTTTCTGTTTGTTTTTTGTTTTTGTTTTTGTTTTATTCTCTCTATAGAAGGCAGGCAGGATGGAAAAGAGAAAAATGTCTTAGTAGAAAGAAATTCCTTCAAATCAGAAGGCAGGAATGAGAATGTTCTGGTAATGCTTGATGATTGTCAGTGTGATCAAAAGAGAAACTGCAACAAACTTTCTCTGAAATCATGAGATTCACTCTTCAGAAAGAAGAAAACAAAAGGGGTTTGATGTCCCCAGTTGGTAGAATTTTACCTTTTATCAGCACAAATTAAGCCTTCATCAAATTAAAGATTCAGGGACCTTTGGAAAATATTGAACTCCAGTAACCTCAGGACTGTCCAGAAGGTCCTTAATGGGCACCTTGCAACTCCCCACCCATCATCTTCTTGGTTAAATGATCACATGCTGATTACCTCTGAGCACCCCGAGAGTGTCTGAATATTGACCTCCAGAATGAAGACCATCTGGTGTGGGCAGAAATTTCCCCAAACAAAAAAAAAGACCTGACTGGACTAGGTAATTTTATAATCTCACTGACAAATTTAATGGGAATAGGCGAACATCTTTTCTTGGCATTTAGGAAACATTTGGTAAACACATGGTCTTACCAAATCTTTATTTTGAACCTCAGTTTGATTTATGGAAAGCCACTGTCCAGACTCTCAGAAGAGATTGTTTTCTGAGCTTGAACCAATCAAAGCATGGCAGCGGGCCTCTGGTCATCTGGTCATTGCATGCCACTTGGTGTTGCTGATGTGTCTGTGATCGTTCTGGATTTGACAGGTCCATCACATTAGCTCGATGAATGGCTTGCTTGAATGAAGTCTGGGCCAGGCTTCTCTTTATGGATTGCCTCTTGGTTTCTTTGTGTAATATGACTTGGTCATTGTTGCATCTTTAAACAGCCAAAGTGGGAAGTGGAGAGGGGGAAGATTCTTATTCAATGGATTTTGCCACAAATATTTGGGGGAATATATATTATGTGTACATAGCTTTGATGTAAATCTTATCTCTCTGGAAAGACAGACATTTGTCATGCTTGTCCTGCTTGCTAACACTCTTAACATTTCCTAACAATCAGTGCATGAAAATGTCCCTCCACATTAGGGCAGAAAGTATCTAGAGACAGACTGACCAGAGAAGTAAGCAATACTTAGTCTTTCATTCAGAAATTTCATAGCAATCTTATTGCACTGATAGTTACCAGGGACCAATTTCTTTTTCCATGTAAAACATTCATTTTCTTTAAATATCCCTGAATAACCAGAAGCTTTTGAAATACAAGTACAGCACCATGTCACATAGGCGTCTCTAGAGCAAAAAAGACCACAAGCAACAGGATTTTGTTTGTTTTACTTTCTACCTCTTTTCTTTATTTTTCAAGACCTTTAAGTTTCATTGGCAACATTGTACTATACTGTACCATGTGAAATTGCAATTTTTGTGTGACAGAAATGACGAAATATTGGCAATTCCGTAGAGCTCTACTTGAAGGAAAACCAAGTAAAAGACCATAATATCAATGGTCTCACTCTCTCCATCTCCACATGCACAAACCTATGCCTCAGGGACTCACATAGGACTCATAAGACTGTCTGAGTAAATATTAATACAGGAAGCCTGAACTTATTCAAGTTTAGAAATCCACATGTTAGAACATCATGTATGGGCCAGCAGGTGACATGGTGATTAAGGCACTGAATTCTCACATGATTGACCTCAGTTTGAGTCCTGGACTCAGCAGCTTGAAAATCACTCCAAGCACATGTGCATACATGCCCCAAATCCTGAGAGGAGAATAGAGGAGAAGGGACTGCAGTGTGGCCATCCCCTTTTGGGGACAACTTCTCACTTTCCCTCTGACTCTCTCTGGTGAGCACACATACCATATGGAAAAACATTTTTTAAAAGTATGAAAAAAACTCATATAAACTCAATAGATAAAATACTCTATTTCCGAGAGAAACAGGTTAATATTTCTTTCCTATAGCTCAACAGAGGTAGGTAGGTATGTTTTTGGGTTCAGGGAATATGTGGTCTACTTCTACTTAAAATTATATTTGATAGATGTAGATAAATGGATGTATACAGACTCAACACCCATATGAACATGCATCCATACATAGATGGGTGAGTAGA